ATCTATTTGAGTCAGAGGAATTCAAAGTGTTTTACTGTTATTTTTAATAAAGAATTTATTAATTAAAATGAAACTATTCTAAAAACAATTTACAGAAGTAAATTGGACATTTTTAAAACTTTTCAAACTAAACGCGCCTCCCTTATTGAAATATATTTCACAGTAAAATACCAGGAGTTACACATTCAAAGGATAATTTCAGTTCAGAGTTACGATAAGTTTTTGATTTGATTTGGTTCACAGCAGCCAGAGACTGAGGAATGAAGGGAGGGTTGCAAATACGTGTGTGTATTAGTGTGTGTGTGTGTGTGTGGGTGTGTGTGTCCCCGTGTGCCACAGCAGAGCCCCATCTCTGCTAAATGCTGTTTTCGAACATAATAATGTTGATCTCAGCACATGCCTGCTGGGCAGTGGAGCGAGCAGGTGAGAGGCAGAGACAGGCCGGACACAGAGACAGAGAGAAAAAAAGGACTGAACTGTGCTTCCATCACACAGGTGGCCTGTAACAGTACACACCAGCTGCTAAACCAGCATCTGGATCTGAACTGAAAGCTTTCATTTTAACTATGTGAGCTCGATTTTTATGCAGACAAGCATTTATTTAAAACAATCTGTTGAAGTCTTAGTGAGGCAGCTGCTCTCAGTCATGTCCTGTCTAGTGTCTAAATTCGGGGTAAGGGATCATCATCTTTGCAACTTCTTCCAGRTTTACCTTCTTAAACTCTGACCTCACCTCTTTCTGTTTGTCCTCCTTCCTGTTTCGGCTCCAGCCTCTACTTTCTCCATAGGCTAGACATTTGGAAGCATGGGCGACTGGAGCTTTCTGGGCCGGCTGCTGGAGAATGCTCAGGAGCACTCGACGGTCATCGGCAAAGTCTGGCTGACGGTCCTCTTCATCTTCCGGATCCTGGTGCTGGGGGCCGCGGCCGAGGACGTCTGGGGCGACGAGCAGTCCGACTTCACCTGCAACACCCAGCAGCCCGGCTGCGAGAACGTCTGCTACGACGAGGCCTTCCCCATCTCGCACATCCGCTTCTGGGTGCTGCAGATCATCTTCGTGTCCACGCCGACGCTCATCTACCTGGGCCACGTGCTGCACATCGTCCGCATGGAGGAGAAGCGCAAAGAGAAGGAGGAGGAGCTGCGCAAAGCCAACAGGTTCCAGGAGGAGAAGGAGCTCCTTTATAAAAACAGCGGGGACACGGGAGGAGGCGGCAGGAAGGAGAAGCCGCCCATCAGGGACGAGCACGGCAAAATCCGAATCCGAGGCGCTCTGCTGCGCACCTACGTGTTCAACATCATTTTCAAGACTCTGTTTGAAGTGGGTTTCATTTTGGGCCAGTATTTCCTTTATGGCTTCCAGCTGAGGCCCCTGTACAAGTGTGCACGTTGGCCGTGCCCCAACACTGTCGACTGCTTCATATCAAGGCCCACTGAAAAGACCATTTTTATCCTCTTTATGCTTGTGGTGGCTTGCGTGTCTCTTTTGCTGAATTTGTTAGAGATCTATCACCTCGGGTGGAAGAAAGTCAAGCAGGGCGTGACGAATGAGTTCGCCCCTGATCGAGAGTCGCTGCGGCACGTCGACCCCGTGGAGCCCGAGTGTTTGGCCTCGGCCCCCAGAACTGCCCCACCCGGCCTCAGCTACCCCCCCAACTACATCGATGTGACGGCGGGCAGCGGGGCCATCCTGCCCCCCATGAGGCCTTCAGMTTCAGCTGACTTTAAGGTGGGTGACCTCCAGCGGGAGGAGCCCCTCCACCAGTCCTCCTCCTCGTCTCATTACTACATCAGCAACAACAACAGCAACAAGCTGGCCACTCAGCAGAACTGGGCCAACCTGGCCACCGAGCAGCAGACTCGGGAGATGAAGGCCACCTCCCCCTCACCATCCTCGTCGTCTTCTGCCAACCACGAGCAGCAGCAGCTGTCCGCTGGCGTCGTTTCGCCTCTTCTTACCGCTGCCACCCCTGCCGCCGGTGCACAAAGCTGGGTGGAGGTCAAGACCCCGCAGGAGGAAGGCCTCGCTGCCGCCGCCGCTGCAGCGGAGACGCACGAACCCCCGCTAACGGTCAGCACAGACCCCCGTCGGCTCAGTCGGGCCAGTAAGAGCAGCAGTGTCAGGGCCAGGCCAAGTGACCTGGCTGTCTAAACCTCTGTGGCCCCCATCACACACACACACACACACACACACACACACACACACACACACACACACACACAC